CCATCCATCCATCCATCCATCCATCCATCCATCCATCCATCCATCCAGTTTATTTACATGCTTTGTGGTTTGCTGGGAATCTGGTACCTTTCTATGATGCAATATTTTGGGTACACACTAAACAGGTCACAAGACTGTCACAGACTTCAAACATATGAGGATGAAAATATTAACATTTTGATTTTCTGTGCATATCGTTGCCATTTGAATTTGGTACATTGACTATACCATTATAATGAAGCCAGTTTTTTATGTATTTGTATTTTATTTTTGTATTCATTTCTTTCTTTTGTTAATTGCAACTAATTTTTCCGAGCTACTAGTTTGAGTCTGACAGTTAAACTAAAAGTCTAGTAAGTATGTATTCTTGCTTCAACGTTTTTGTTTTTGTTTCCTCCAAGATGACAATCTGTGAGCTGAACGTGACGTCAAAAGAGGAACTGCACATGACCAATGCACAAATCTTCCAAATACTGTAAGTGTGACTGTGAGTTTATTTTCTTATACCATAAAAAGCCCTTGCTGACTGTTTTAATTGAGGAGATGTGGACTTTCATCAAATTCACGATTTAGAATAATTATTTCATTTGGACTAGCATCAATTCACAGGAAGCAAAGATGTGCAGTACATGTGGAAATGAAGTTAACATTTACAGAACTTTTAACAGCTATCTATCAATGACAGCTTTGTTTTTTGTGATAGTTTTTCAGCACATGATAGTCATGGAGGTTTGACCTCTAAAAACACATATTTGGTGTAAAAGTTAGGGGAAAAAAAGCTGTCTGGATAAATGAAGACTTTTCAGCACACTAACAAAAAGAGGTTTGACTTCCCATTGGCAGAAACAACAGACCACATCTATAAAGAAACAGGACAAATGGGAATTTAAGAAGCCAACTTCTAACCCTTAAATATATACTTAACAAAAACGATGAAAGTAAAATGAAAAGAAAAGTTGTATTTTAGTGAACGCATCAACAAAATTAGTTTTCTTTTGTTTTTACATTTTTTTTAAATCTTTAAGTCTCCCAGCTTGTGAATCACAGGCCTAAAGACTTCCTGTTACAAGATTAAAACATAGCAAAAAGTAAAAAAACAGTGCATGAGAACCTCCCGCTGCCCAGCTTGTTGGTCAGCTGCTGTAATTTGGTTCACATGAGCAAAACGTTGGACTCATTTCAGTCAACACGAGCTGCAGTCGCATGTCTTAAATCTGCTTTTTCAAACCACACTGCGCCCTCCTCCCCACAATCCCACCTCCCAGCCCTCTTCCTGCTCTGCCAGATGCTCCAGTCCAGTGCACTCTGGATGGTTTTCCTCTCCTCTGACTGTTTTTTCCCTTTATTTTATTTTTTTAGCACACCTAAACCTGAGCCCATAGGCTAAAGCAGACATGACAGCAGAAAAGGAAAGTAATGGACTTGACAACTACGGCTTTGCGGTGAGTATAGCTTTCACTTTTTTACCTAATGTTTCCAGCAACAGCATACACCTAATGACTGATCCCGGACACAACACATATTTCATTCAGCTGACACACTTGGATCTTGGATTAAAATGATGAAAATGAAATTAATATTTGCTGTGTCATCAGGAGTTGACTCTTTATCTGATTCTGTGCCTTTCTGTTTGACATTTCAAAGCTTGAGGGACATTTCTGTGATCTACCTGAAAAAGCAGACAAGCTGGACGCCTCTGCTGATGACAGCAATAACAAACTGGCATACATCGTAACAGATGTTCCTCCTTGGTACCTCTGCATTCTTTTAGGCACTCAGGTACGGCAGGAAGTTAGTCTTCATGTCTAACCAGGTTGAGCCAGGTCCTCCGTATAGATTCTTCTTTGTTGAAACGTTTCGTCTTTTATCCCAAAGACTTCTTTCGGATCATTCACTGTTATCTTGATTAGATAAGTCTTTTGGATAAAAGATGAAACGTTTCAACAAAGAAGAATCTGTCCAGAAGACCTAACTCAACCTTGTAAGATTTACCTGGATTAATGAGCATGCATCAGGACATTTAGTCTTCATGTGATTTTTAAAATTTAGGACTTGATAAAGAAGCTTTTAAATACATTTAAAAAGTAAATGTGATACAGGCAACTGAGCGTTTCTGTGTGTCATTCCATCTTCAGTTTGTTGGGCTTTTATTTCAGAAGGAGACTGTAAAATCTATTTTAGATTTAATCCAAACACAAAACTTTAATAGAAACTTGCTTGTCTAGCTGAGCACGAACACTGCGTTTTTTTTTTAATTTCTGATTTGCAAATCAAAAAGGACTAAATCAGTTTCTCATGAGTGATTTTTCAATCTTCTCAGCACTGTTTGACAGCATTTGGAGGTATCATTGCCATCCCTCTGATCCTGTCTGAAGCGTTGTGTCTGCAACATGATGGCCTTACACAAAGCTACCTCATCAGCACAATCTTCTTTGTTTCTGGTGTTTGCACGTTGTTGCAAGTTACCTTCGGCATTAGGTAAGAAAACCCGCGGGGAGAGGGTATGATTATACTGTTGTTTGCTACTGTGATGAATTACTGGCAGGACAAATGTCTTATAGGAAAACAAAGAATATGTGAGAACATTTACGGTGATTCAGTGGATACATTTACATTTTAAAGTTCTGAGTCCCAGCAGTCGAGCGCAGTAAACAAAGGTCCAATTCTTCAAGCTACTCTTATTAAAGGAACGGAACAGGTGTCAGATTGGCCAAAAGGGGACCATCAATATTCTTAAGATGGCATATCAAAAATCAAAAGCCATAACTGAATTTCAGGAGCTTTAATAAGTTGTTGTAGTTTTATTGGTCTGTGTCTTTGATTTATTCTCTCTAACCCCAGCCAGTCAAGGCCAATGGCTGTCCATCCTGAGCTCAGTTCTGCTGGAGGGTTCTTCCTGTTAAAAGGGAGTTTTTTCTTTCCACTGTCACCTCTGTGCTTGCTCAGGATGGGAAGTCATGATAAAGTGAGGATTCAATGCTGGCTTCCTAAGACAGATCTTTTTTATTACATTCTTTGTGAACTGGTGCTGCATAAATAAACTTAATTGAGTAGAATACATTTTAATTAAACTGAAGAATACTGCAATTCATGAATGAGACTTGCCTTCTGATATAAGCCTCCTGTGTTACTGAATACTTTACAGTTGATATGACAACACTGTCACTACTAAGCTTGTCTTCTCTTGCCTTTAATCATATTCCTCATTGAAACTAACGTTTCTTGAAATAATTTGCTACCTTGCTTTCCAAAAAAATTAACAAAAATCTTGTGAGATCTGTGATCCCTCAGGTTATGTGTTAAAGGTGATGCTCAGTTACTACTGTGTCAATTTTTAGCTCTACCTGTATTAAACTGAGTGAGTTTTAGGCATTATTGTGTTTGCTAAGGTTGATTAAATGTGGTGGCCATATTGAATCAAACTGATTTCAACTGGCAATCAGGTATAGATGCACATAGAATTATTGCTTACAGATAAAAAAAAAATACGTTAAATGGTTCATGACATTTTGCTAACAAAGTTAATGCATAAACACCTGCCCTCCACCTACTTGGTGGCGTTCCTGTTCTCGAGCTCTTTTAAAGTGTGCGGCCTGCCAAGTGGAGTGTACACCACGAACAATGGAATATTTCTCTGCTAGAGGATTACCAGTAAGACGATCTTTCAAGCAGCTTTGCTTTTTTGCATTGGGCTAATTTTGAATAGTACAAAGTATACTTTGGGGATACTGTTAAAAAATGTTTTTCAATTGTGTTCACTAAGATTTACTCAAACTCTCAAAACAAATGAAAACGGACATAACTCGATTTAGCACTAGAAATAGTTCTGTATAAATGCAAGAAACAAAACTCACATTTAATGAAAACAACATTCAGTATCATTCACGACTAAAGACATGTACACATGAGTATACAGGGTAATAAATGATTTTGTTTAGGAAATCTCCCGTACTAACATGTATTTTCCAGCTCTGAACTTTTCAACTCAGCCTGACTGAATCTTGGCATCTCCGTTGGATTAGCCAAGGAATTTCCATCTCATTACGTTTGGAATCTAGTTCTTGCTAAATCCACATTCTCCTGGTTTAGCACCACTGATGCTTTCTTGTCTTCCTCTACAAATCCAAGAATCAGCAAGGAGCAAAAACTAAATGTTCAGCAGACCTCTGCTCCATGGAAACCAAAATAAAGCATTTCTTACGTTTGAGTCCCGTCTTATTTACTCATCAACATATTTCTTGGTTGTACCTTTTCCCCCAGTTAGTTTTTCGTAGAAACTTGCAGTTACTTGAATAACTTACCACCAGATGTTAATTTACATGGAAGGCTTACCTGCAGCTTGATGTGTGGTATCGAAACTGAGCAGCACAAAGACAAGAATGAACATTTAACTCACTTAACCTCTAACGCTTGCATGTCTAATAAGAGTCACTCTCTATCTTCACATGATTTGATTTAACCCTTTTCACTGCAAGAATTAGAAGCTGTGGATTCTAACAGGCTTTTGTAAACCTTTGGGATGTTTTCCTACCTGCAATGCATTGAAAAGACCTTTACGTGTACTGATATTTTTATGGTATTATCATAAATTAGCTGATAGAATGGTGACAATCTCTTGTAGATGTCTGGATTTCTTTTAATTGCCTACCAACAAATATTTCTACCACCTTTATCTCCAGATTGCCCATTCTTCAAGGTGGCACGTTCACATTGTTGGCTCCCTCCATGGCGATGCTGTCCATGCCAGAGTGGACTTGTCCTGCTTGGACGCAAAATGCCAGTTTAGTAAACACGTCGTCCGCAGAGTTCATGGACGTGTGGCAGAGTCGAATGAGAGCAGTAAGTAAGCTGAAGCCATTTAACCTTATGAAGCACATCTTATTGTTGATACTGTAGCTGGAACACGTCCATGTCAGTCACAAGACTCTGAGCTTGGTGTTTCAGACTGTATTTAAAAATTAACACAGTCACTGGTGCCGGTACATGTTTAGTGTTTCAGTGACACAAAGCAGTGTCTGTCTTTATTTCTGCACGGTAAAAAAATGTTATGCCTGCTTGGCCATTTCTTGTGCTGTATAAAATATATGTTGTGGTAACAAAGGTCGTGCATGATTTGAAGATGAGACCCTTATTGCTAAGAGAGTTTTAAAGTGAACTCATAAAATCTGCACTGGTTTTGTTTGTGTGACGAAGGCCTCTTGGACTGGTTTACAGAACAATGCGAACAGACTTAGCATATGAAACAGCAACATTAAATACGTTTATCATTTGTCTCTGTGACTCCTGGAACAATGTATTGTTTTCTGGAAAACTTAATGTAACATCTGTCCCCTAGCAGACCAACAAACATTAAAACAAAGGAAAACAGAAGCATTAAATCTATTCAACTATATGGCGTTATTCAAGCATGAAGTGCATTTTAATTATTTTAAATAAATTCAAAGTACTAATAGACTGCTAGAACAAAAGCAAACAAAAAAAAAATTCTAATTTTGACTATATTGAATTTTTAATATTACCTGGATTGTGACCAGGTGATGAATCAATAAATCAATAAACATATAAATAGATAAATACAACTTTTCAGTGGAGCAATGATTTTGATGAACTGTTTTTAATCTAATTATTGCGGATTAGAGGGAGATAAAATGTAAACAAGTTTATTAGTTTTGCTTTGCTACAGTTTTTTTTATATTTATAGGCCTCTGTCATTTTTAGATGTGTGATGTGGTTTTTAAGCTCCAGCTGCTGAGCACCTTGTAAAGTTGTAGTCTGTGAACTGGTTATTGACATGGAAGAACTGTATGGTTAAGTTAGTGTGTAATGCAATGTGATTTATTAATCAAAATGTAACATGAAATAGTTGGTTTTAGTTTGGTGGGAGAAAAATGCCCTGCAGTCTCACATCTGTCAAAAATATATTTTATGATAATTTTATTTTCATTCTAAAATTTCACGTTTTTATTATTATTATTATTATTTTCCTTTGCGTGGTAATTTTGTTTGTCCACCTTTCAGGGTTGAATCCATTCTGCCAGATGTCAACAAAAGGAGGTTCATTTTACTTCCTCTAGTGGCAGAAAATATTATTACAAAATCAAACATAAAAAAGTTTTTCTTTTAAATTAGAAAATAATCTTATAGTGATAACAACAACAACAACAACAACAACAACAACAACAACAACAACAACAATAATAATAATCTATAACAATAATATAAAATATAAATAACAATAATTTAATATAAATAACAAAATAAATAAATAACAAAATACAATATAAAAGATAAATAATAATAATAATAATAATAATAATAATTCAAAGCATGTTTTTACCTTCTCATAGAAAGTAACAAGAAAAATATATATTTATTGCACTTCAATTAAAAATAATAATTCACTGCTTTTTGTTAAAAATTTCTTGTCATTTTCCATAAAAAAAAAAAATATATATTTTAAAATGATTGGAGGCTGCAGTGGATCAGTGGTTAGTGCTACAGTCTGGTAATCCTGAGGCTGCAGGCTTGACCCCAGGTTTAATCGGCAATGGAAATGACGTAAAACAATTGGCAAAACATTCATGCGAGTTCATTTCCTCCTTGCAAAAGGGAGCAGCTGAAAGAAAATAGCTAAAACATTTGCAAAAGAATGATGCAGATTTCTGACATCAGTGTGTTTGTCTTATAGCTGCAGGGCTCCATTATCGTGGGCTCACTCTTCCAGGTGTTTGTCGGTTTCTCTGGTCTGATTGGTCTCTTCATGCGCTTCATTGGACCTCTGACCATTGCTCCCACTATCTCTCTCATTGGACTATCCCTGTTTGACTCTGCTGGGAGCAGTGCTGGCAACCACTGGGGAATTTCATCAATGTGGGTAAAATCCTTTCATAAAATCTCCAAGTTTATAAAGTAAGATTACAGCAAAATCACCATTTTTTATTTTTTAAAGCAAATATGTCAATTAAACTTTTAAATGATTCTGCGTCTGCTTCTACCAGTAGTAAAGACAAGCTTGTACTGTACTATAAAGTTTTTGTAAAGTCAATATGAAGAATATCTATCACAATCTTGTCTTTTAAAAGATTATGTCTAAATCAATTGATCTTAGATTCATTTTTGTTCGTCCCTGTCTCCCACAGGACCACAGGTCTGATCATTCTGTTCTCACAGTATCTCCGCCACATCGCCATGCCTCTTCCTACGTACAGCAAGGACAAAAAGCTTCACATCTCTCGAGCCTACATCTTTCAAATTCTCCCCGTATGTATAAAAAACGTTTGGAAAGAACACAAGAAAGCAATAAAATACGATGTTTTTAACTTTTTCATGTATGTATTCTTAGGTTCTGCTTGGAATCACAGTTTCTTGGCTCATCTGCTACATTCTGACTACATATAATGTGTTTCCTGCTGATCCAGAATGCTATGGTTACCTCGCACGCACAGACCTGAAAGGAGAAGTTATAGGCAGAGCTCCCTGGTTTACGTTTCCACACCCAGGTAAGATTTTGCAACGCCAATGTAGATCTTAAAAGAAAATCAAAGCTGTATTTCTTATTGGATAAACAAATAATCAAAAAGAAATTGCTTTTTTATATTCTTTGTTACTGTACGTACCGTAGTAATGGATTGCTGTGCATGTGTTTTATGTTCAAAACCAAATTCAGGACAATGGGGGATGCCAACTGTGAGCCTGGCAGGGGTGGTTGGCATCTTGGCTGGGGTGATTTCCTCCATGATAGAGTCTGTTGGGGATTATCATGCATGTGCAAGGTTATCTGGAGCTCCACCCCCACCAAAACATGCCATCAACAGGGGTATTGGAATTGAAGGACTGGGCTGCCTGCTGGCAGGTGCATGGGGTACAGGAAATGGAACCACTTCTTACAGTGAGAACATTGGAGCACTTGGTATTACAAAGGTACAATATCTCTTTAGACCAAAAATTACCTTTAAATTTTACTTCTAATTTTAATTGTATTCTGATCTTAATATGATGAGCAAATAGTTTTTATGTGGAGCCAAACCTCACTGAACTGTGAGCGCACATTTATTTGAGAAGTTAATACTGGTTTTAAAGGTGGTGACTGTGCTCCTGTTTGCATTCCACAACATGGATGGTGAATTTATGTTTCAGCTTCATCTCCTGTACGTTTGCAGGTTGGCAGTCGAATGGTGATTGTGGCCAGCGGCGTGTTCATGGTTGTGATGGGAATACTTGGGAAAGTGGGTGCTATATTTACTACTATCCCCTCACCAGTGATGGGAGGGATGTTCATGGTCATGTTTGGGGTGATTTGTGCAGCAGGAGTTTCTAATCTTCAGGTACACATTCTTGAATCCCGAGCTTTTATTTTGCTTAATTACAAAAACACATTCATTCCCTTGTGGTCATGTTTTTTTTTTAGTATGCAGACATGAATTCATCTCGAAACATCTTCATTTTTGGATTCTCCATGTTTACTGGTTTGGCTATTCCCAACTGGGTATTAAAGAACCCAAAGGCTATTGCTACAGGTATACTAGAAAAAAACAACATATAGCTTGTTTTGTATACACATTGTATTTTAATGATAAAAAAAAATCACTGATTAAAACCAGTTTATTTTGTGTCCAGGTGTAATTGAAATTGATCAGATGCTGCAGGTACTTCTGACAACCAGTATGTTTGTAGGAGGCTTCTTTGGATTCATGTTGGACAACACTATTCCAGGTATTTTTACATATTAACATGTTCTAACATCTACATAGCCTTATTGAGTGGCACAGTGGACAAGTGTTAGATACTGTTGCCTCACAGCAAGAAAGTCCTGGGATCAAGCTTTGAATGGGGTCTGGGGTTTTTCTGTGTGGACTTGACATACTCTCCTTGTGTCTGCAAAATTTTCTCCGGGTACTTTGGTTTCCTCCCACAGTCTAAAAAACATGCATGTGAGGCTGCTTTCAGGCCCAGGCCTCCTTTGAAAAAGAGATCTGTGATCCCAATGGGATTGTCCTGGATAAAATAGGTTAATAAATAAAAAGTGTTTTTGTTCAAACCCTAAAATATAATAAATATAATTCAATGGCATGTACTCTCAAGTTGTTACAGACTCGTACATTCACACATTAAAAAATGTGTACCTTCAATATCCCAACGTTTTCTCTAAATAAAGTACGAGTGCACTGGTAATGGCATCATTACAAAGATTTCTCTCTCCGAAGAGAAAAAAAAAATCACTCTCTTCCATACTGAAAAAAAAAAAACTAAAAACAAAGGCAACTGAAGTTATCACAAGAATGTGACAAGAACCACATGAAATGAAAGAAAAGCATGAGAAAAACTAAACCAAGACCCATACACATGAGCACAACCATCACTTCTAAAGACATTTTAACATTTCTTATGTAGCTCCACTCCCACCAATAGAAGGTGTATATTCTCTAACCAGTTACTGGTGGCTGTTTGGTGCTATATAAATTGGTGTCATATAAATAAACTGAATTGCATTGAATTGGATTGTTCCCTGCATGGTATGATGATGCATTGAGTTAGCACTTTTATCCTACAGCAATAATTTCCTGGGTTTGAAACAGTCATGTGACATAGTATGAGGGGCACAGTGGTAATGACATCATTACAAAGATTTCCACCACAGGGGAGAAACGAACACAGTCACAGTCTGTGAGGAGTTGGCACTCTCTCCTGCATTTATGGGATGTTTTTCTGCTGGTTTTATTTAATAGTCCCCAAAAATCTATGATAAGTTAATTGGCAACTCTAAATTGCCATTAGGCATGAGTGTGTTTAGAGTTTGTCTCTAATCCTGTGGTGGACTGGCAACCGGCCAGTAAAATACCTGACCTGCACTACTCCTCAAGACCCTAAACAGAATCAAGCAGGTATAGAAAGTGTGTCCTGCCCAAAAGATTGCTTTATTTTTAAGGACAGTCTTGTTATTAACAAACATTTTAATGAAATGAAAACTGTATAATAGATGTTAAATCTTCAAGCAGGGTCGAAAGGGTCAAGTGGTTTTCCCATTTTCGTTAGTGTGCCTTTCGTGTGAGGACATGAGTATGAATGATTATGTGGTTTAAGTGAAAAAATGGTCAAAAGAAGAAAAAGAAATAAAAAATTGAATTACTTTACAGCATATGGATATGAAAAAAAGCCCTTAAAGTTTTGAGTTGCTTTTTTTTTGGTCCCAACAGGATCCAAACAGGAAAGAGGGATCCTGGCCTGGAACAAGGCTCATGAGGATGACTCCAGTGAAACACTTGAATGTGGAGAAGTCTACAACCTTCCCTTTGGCATCAGCTCTTACATGTCCTCTATTTCCTGGCTGCGATATGTCCCTTTCTGCCCTCCTGGTTTACCCCACTCCCAGGAGCCGAAGCAGCCACTGGGAAATCCAGAGGCGGGACAGATCATTATTGGAGTGAGTGTGTGAGTTGTGTATTCACTCTAATTTGCCATCTTGGAAAACCTGTCCATCAAAGGCAGCTCATTTTGTGCCACATCCTGAAGTCACTGTACTGTAACAACATAAGCATTTAAATGATCTTTAGGAGTGACATCTTTCATTAATATCATGCAACAATATGATGTTTTTTAATATCCATTCTCACTAGAGTTCACTATAAAATGCTATGAGGTCAAAGTAATACGGGGAGATTGAAATTTGAAAGCACTTAGAAAGATGTGACTGTAGTTTTAAAATATTACAAACATGCAACATCCAATGTAACCTCTTTTACAGAATATTCTGAACATTAATCAACCGTAGGGCATAAAGCTAACACTACAGAGCTCTTTTAAATTGCACAATAGTACAATTGTGCAACTCAGGCATGTCATATGAAGACAATGTATGCACCATTCAATACCTTTATTACAATTTAAACACACTGAAATAAAAACTTTCACTGTCTAAAAACACTTCTATTCTATTACTATATCACTTTTTGGATAAAAACCAAAGTTGTTGTCATGTTAAAGTATACGAATGCACTGCTCCAGATATATAATCTTATTTTTTTGATGTTTCAGTGGACTTTGTGCTAAAGAAATTAAAATAATTAAGCATAGCTTCTTTCACATTGAATTCCTTTAACTCCTATTATGGTTGCTGCATGTTTTAAACTCACCCAGAAACCATTTTCACTGAAAATCACTATTCAAAGACAATATATATTTTATTTAGTTCAACGTTTAATAAATTATTTCTGTCTTTGACCTTGATAGTATCAGAATTCAGTTACACAATGGTGCTAAAAGACAAAAAAATGGTAATGAAAAAAACTGGATGTTCATATGAAACATATTGTATATTTGTTGTTTATTTTATACAGATACAGAATTTAACATTTGAATTAACCAATGAGTTCATTTTTTGAAATTTCTGTGCACTTTACCCATTTCTGATGAAAGCTTCTGAGGTATTTCAAGATGATTAAAAAATGCAACTAGTCCCGAATGTGCAAACTCAGACTATTGTCTTATTGTAATGGATTTTTTTGTAACTGTATATTAAAGTTAAACATGGAACTAACTGTAGTAATGTTTATTCAGTTTGTCAATAAGTCTTTCTTTATGGCTTTGTATAAACCAACAAACGACTCTTCCCATATTTTTCTTTGTTCATCAATAGAACTGACCAACTTTTGGGTAGTGTATACCAAAGTCAAAAGGGTACGCTCAAAATCATCCTGATGCAGGGCACCAACATGACTTGAAAGGTCAACTACGAGCTGAGAAATATCTGTTAGGTTCCTAGGAATGATTTCCTCGCAGATGACGTTCAAAGTTCTCTTCTTCTGCAGTGAAGACAGTTCAGCGTCGTTGACAGAAAATGCTCCGTTGTGCTCCAAATGTATACCAGCCATCAGGATCTATTTTGTAAAAAAAAAAGAAAAGCAAAAAGAACATGAAACAAGTTTACATTCCCAATAATCTTGAACATTTGTCTGTTGTTTGTACCTCAAACAACAGATGAGCGTCATTAGGAGACTCGTAGAATGTTGGGTTTGCCATCGTTGTTAATCCTCTTTTTACCCTAGTCACACCTGGAAATAGAGCTTTGGAGAAAAATAATAAATAATGACTAGTGAAATCACATTTCAATGCAGTGTGAATGTTCATTACTGAAGAACTTGCTGAAAAGCAGTTGAAATTAGCTAAAACATGCTGAAATTTAGCTGAAATGGAAGAACAAAGCCTAAGTTAGCAGAAGAAAGCAGAAAGAACACGTTTGCTGAATTAGGTTTAAATACACAGAAATGAGCACAAACATTAGGAAATTAGCAAAAAATAGCTGGGAAGTAGCGTAAAAGTTTGAAAGAAGCTTAAACTACTAGAAGGAAGTCAAAGTAGCTGAGAAGAACTCCAAAAATGTGGAATTAGCTGAAAAAGCTAAATTTAGCACAAAAGAGCTAAAAAGCAGCTGAAATAGCAGAAAAAGCTGAAACTAGAAGAAAAACCTGAAAGGAGCACAAAAAGCTGAAATTAGCAGAAATTACCACAAAAAATTAGAATTTATCTGAAAACAGCTGAAAATAGCTATAAATGTTAAAAAGGTAGCTAAACAGGTAGAACAAGCTTAAATTTCCAGAAGAAAGCAGACAGAACACAGATTTATCCAAATTAGGCTGAAAGAAGTAGAAATGAGCACAAAAAGTGGAAATTATCTGAAAAAAAGCTTAATTTAGTAATAAATAGCTGGAAAGTAGCTAAAAATGCAGAAAGAAGCTTAAATTACCAGAAGGAAGTGGAGCGAGAACATTTGCTGAATTAGACTAAATTAAGTTGAAATGAGTGAAAACAAAGTAGAATAATCTGAAAAAACTAAAATTAGCATAAAATAGCTAAATAGTAGCTGAAATAGTAGAAAAAGCTGAAACTTGCATAAATAAGCGGAAAGGAGCATAACAAGCTGAAATTAGCAGAAAGAGTATAAGGAGCACAAAAATGGTGTAGTTAGCAGAAATAAGCTGAAAGGGTCACAAAACAGCTGGAAAAAAACAGCTGAAATTAGCTGGAAAAAGGGTTAAAGAAGCTGAATGAAGCTGAACCAGAACAAAATGTGAAAGGAGCAGTAAAAGGTTCTAAACAGATCTAAAGCTGTGAAGGATGTAAAATGAGCTCAATTCATTTTCTGTGTGGAAAAAATGGCAGAAAAGGCTAAATATTTCAAAAAAGATAAATTTGCCGCAATACCAAAAGTCATAGCACCCTTCTCCTGAACGAGCTGAACATTTTGATATGATTTGTTGAAATAGCAGAAAAACTGTGGAAGGAGAAAGATGCTGAAAAATGTATGGAAGAAAAAATGGATCACAATGTTGTGAATGCTTCATAAGCTTCACCACAGATTTTATGGTTATAGAAAAGCAACAGTTGACTCTAACTTAGCTTTACTTTCAAATGTATTGATTTGTGTTTGTCCTGCTTCCAAAGGCTCCAAGTCAATCAGGTTGAAAACTCTGTAAGTGACTTCAAATGGTGGTTTTACTTTAATGCAAATGTTGGCAGATGTGAGCTCATCATGCAGACAGGAGGATATCCTGGTCATAATCAATGTTATGCTCCCTGTGCATTTTAAACTCTGTGACCTCTGACCTTGCAGAATAATCTTTCTGCAGACAATAAACTTCAAAGGCAGCAAGAGAATCAAAGACGGAGGAACATGTGGATCATACAGGAACATGTGGATCATACAGCATGATCCAAATGATTTCAGCATGGACTGTATGTTCCTGGTTTCATTCTCAGGTTTTCATGACATACCTTAAATGTATGATCAGAACAGGATGTTAACAACAATTAAAGTTCAGTGTTTTCAAAACTAAGGATACGTTTTAGATAAAACTGTCAAGATATTCAAAGTAGAACTGATGAAGGGATATAATTTAGACTTTAAGACAGAAAAAATAGTTAAAAGTCAATATGTTGCATGTTGAATACCTGAATGTGAAACAATTCACACCTGCAAGAAACAAACAACTCAAGACTTCACATTGTTAATAAAAATGAGTACCCTTTAAAAGTTCACAAAAAAACTTGCATAATTACAGTAGCCACTGTTTCCAAGAAAACAGCCTCTAAACTCACAACTTAGAAGTAAATCTGAGTTAAAAACAGTGTGTTGCATTTATACCAAAGGTTAAATAACAAATACCAGATGTAATATTGTTCAAGTGAAAATTAAAAAAAGAATTAATCTCATAGCTAGCTCATAAAAAGTAACTTGCTAAGCCCAAAAGTAATTTTTATGATCAGAAGTTCATAAATTTACTGATGAAAAATGTGTCTTACCTTTAATGTGGCATTGTGTGACCTGTGCTTTGATGCTGCAGCAGAAAAGTCCAACCAGTATCCTCCAGGAGAGCATGATGGACTAGTCCTAGATTGACTGTGTAAGTGGCTGCTCAGGAGCCCAGTTTCTCCTCTAACTTACTAACCCCAGCGCTCCTGTTCACCTTAGAACAGCAAACTCACATGCGCAGCGCTTCCTTCATCATTTGTATTCTTAGACTGTTTCTCCCTCCTCCCATCCCCAAGCACTTCTGATTCCCTCACTTGTTCTGTTTTCTTTGCCTCTATCAGCAGCATTTTATAACTTCTGTCTGGTTCCCATCAGTCTAAAAGTATTTTATTTTTATGTTACAGCTAAATTCTGATAAGGACGTTGTTTCTGTTCTCCAATGTGAGTCATCTTTATCCGTTCAGTGAAATTCACGGAGTAACAGATGAAAAATTATAAATCCTGTTCCTCTTCAGTTTTATTTACTTATTTAATTTTACTGCAGTCCATAAAGCTTGAAGTACAGTATGTGGTACTTGCTGCTTTGACTGTTAATTATTATATCTTGGTTTATCTTAGAACTTTTAACGTATTGTTTAGCGTTCGTTTAGTGTATATCTTGCATATCTTAGATCCTTGCATACAGTTTCTTTTTATACTTTATATTTTTGTTATTTTTTGGGTGTAATTGGGACCTTGAGTACACAATTTCGTTCCACCTCATGTACCACGTGATACGACTGACAATGAAGAACCTTGAACTTAAAAAAATTTTTTTTTAAGAACCTATTTGTACTGTAGTATTTTGACCATGTGAAAAATTGAACAATCTGTCAATATTTCTGTTTTTTTGAAGGGTGTAGTTTTAATAAAATCAGTGTCTCCTACAAGCACAATGGGGCTAAACCAACTATTGAGCCACCAGCTTAGTCCGTCAGAGGAATAAATAATGTGGACACTTTATAAATAAGACTTCTAAATGACTATTTTTAATGATGTAATACATGTAGCCTGAACGTGGGGCTCCAAACAGCTGCAGAAAGCACAAAGAAAGGCTTTGTTCAATGTTTGGCAACACAAACCTTCTCCACAGGTCTGTAAAAAGTACCAGAGGAAAACTTACTACAGGTAAACCATATAAAATAATTTTTATTTGTTTTAGCACCAGTATAGTGTGAATTATTTCCATCTGTGGATTCAAACTAATGTCAGTATGTGAGCCCCTACAGCACATGGATATTTTCCAGAGGTGAGTCTTGCCAGATGTGTTGCAGTGGCAAAGATTTGTTGCTATGAGAAAATACATACTGTGCCAAAGCTGGCAAGGGGGCTACAGCATCAACAACTACAGTTCAAGAACTTAAACAAACAGTTCTTAATAATTAATTTAAACAAAACTATTAAAGTTATTTCCTAATTTTATTTCTAATGTACCTAGTGAGATTCTATTTAGTACCATTCTATTGAACAGTAAACTGATTAAGAAAGTAGAGTTGGACAATAAACCAGGAAATGCCTGTGGACTCCAGGATTCAAGGTTCTTTATTGTCATTCGCATCTCATGTGGTACATGTGGTGGAACAAAAATTGTGTACACAGGGTCCCAGTTACATCCAACAAAAGTATAAAATGGAAAAGAAAAACATAAGATATAAGATATGAACTAAGAAAAACGTTAACTAGAAATACACTATGCACAAGTACAAAAACAATACGCCAAACAGCAGCATGAACATGAGTCTGAGCAGATGAGCACTAGTGAACACAGCAGCATGAAACAGATCAGCAGCAACATGATGTGATTTTTCACAGTGATTATTCTGGTTCGAGATTCATGAGTCCAACAGCCTCAGGGTAGAAGCTGTTCCTCAGTCTCATGGTTCTGCACTTAATGCTCCTCAACCTCCTGCCTGAGGGGAGCGGGACAAAAAGTGTGTGTGTGCTGGGTGAGTGGGGTCCTTCAAGATGCAGGTGGCCCTCTTCCTGCATCTGGAGGTGTAGATGTCTGTGATGGTGGGGAGACTGACTCCAACAGACTTCTGTGCATCCTTCACCACTCTCTGCAAAGTTTTCCTTTCTGCAGCTGTGCAGCCTCCATGCCACACGTTGATGCTGGAGCACAGGATGCTCTCCACTGCACACCCGTAGAAGGAGGTGATGACTGAGCTTCCCAGTCCAGCTTGCCTCAACCGCCTGAGGAAGTTGAGTCTCTCATGAGCTTTCTTGAGCATGCTGGTAGTGTTGTTGCTGTGGACTCAGTTTAGAGAAGAAAATGACCCATTTGTTCTTCCTGAAATTTCTTGTTGCACTAAATAGTTGCTCCTGAACCAGAGGCGCAACTAGCTCCTTGACACATCTTATTCTTGTGCTAGTTCTTTATTTATCTTGAAATGTGTTGCGAAAAGCAAATACTGTGATTGTTCCGAGGTGGTACCAGTTGCAGTTGTGTCTGCAAACGGACATTAATTATCACTCGCTACAACTTAAAGGACACACTCGTACACAACATCATTGCTGCACAAGTGCAGTATCAGTGAGTTTTGTTGTTGAAATGTCATGTCGTTGAAATTATTATTATTGATCTGGTTCTTTGTTAATAATTCAAATGCCAAAATGATCCCACTGTGATAACATTGTTTCCGTCAGGCATGCACAATACTTTTAACTCCAAAATCAGTATATTTATTTAAAAAAAATTAATCATTTTGAAGGAGAGTGGTTGTCAGAGCCAAAACTAAGAAAATTAAAATAACAATTAATTAGGATTAGGAGTAACAATTAATTAGGAGTGGTGGCGCAGAGTTTAGACAAGGTGGGCCTGTGATCAGAAGATCGCCAGTTCAACTCCCAGTACCGACAACATCAAAATGTGGGTGGAAGAGGTGAAGCACCCATACCGCCTCATTCGCCCCACTCTGGGCCCTTGAGCAAGGCCCTTAACCCCCACCATCTGCTCCCCAAGACACCCTAGATAGCGACTCTGCTCCACACAGAGGGCTGTAGTAGCTCGGTGGTCTGTTGTGTCATGAAGGGGATCCAGCATTAAAAATAATTGTCAAGTCTTCCTACAACTTAGTTCACCGTGGCGACCCCTGAAGAAGGGAGCAGCTGAAAGAAAAAACAATTAATTAAAAACATTTTTTTACCTTGCCACTGCACCTTCATGTCCACTCTACAGAAACCAGTTTGGTTATGCAGACTGGAGAGCACATTAATGTTATCAACTTCACTGCAGAAGCTTACATGTGTAAATTGTAATAACACTAACCATACTCTAGATGTCAGAATTTATTTACTTGTAGGACACCACAGATAATATCTCACTGAATTATTCACTCCAACTGTGAACGGTCTTTATTTAGGCATTAAATTAGGCCACAAGCTATTTTGTGAGCTCTAAGTTTACAAAAGTTATTAATTTAGAAATATCTCTACATGTAAGTTCTTGAACTGGTGAACTGCTTCATAAATCACACTTCTTCATCCCATCAGCATTAGAGCTAAGAGAGTTTTTCAGGACTGACACCCTCAGTACACTATGGGATGTTGCCACTTCACAGCCTGGTGCTGCAGCTTTTCACAGACCATCTGCCATCACTGGCCACTTGTACTGCACGCTGCTGTCTTCAGACCAAACCCACTTTATGATGCAGTCATCCTCTCTCCAGTTTTATTAAAGTGACACTTCATTTACTTATTTTTGACTTTTGGAGCACTCTCCCTGAGCACAGCTTTAGTTTGTGCTGACACGCCCTAATTCAAACAATTTTTCATCTAGTCTTTAGTGACACAGCAGCTGCAAACAGGTGCACACACGTTGAGAAAAGTTCAGCAAAATGCAGCTCAAATGTGCCTCAGTGCACCTAAATCATCAAGGCAAATTGAAGAAAATTTGAATTGGTACATTTTTTTAAATATTAATTTGTGTTTTAAACATTTTAGCATTGTACCAAATTTCTTTCAGGAAGATCAGTGGTCGGTGCGGTCTCATAATAAATAATTGTTTGAACAATTGATAAGTTCATTAGAAAAATCAAAGCAAATATGTTCTTGTTTTTAATATTTTACCATTTTACAAAGCACCTTGATTTCATTGTTTTATAAAGGTACTTTTAAAATTTTAATTGCATTTATTCTTGTTTGTACTTTATATGTTGTTTAAAACAGGTCTCTACTGAAAATGAGTCCTCATGACTCAATGAGACTAACATATATACAAATTGTAAATAAAGGTTGAATGAAAAATAATCTTGAGGCTGCAAGTTGGAGCTCATATTAGGTCAGGAAGAGCATCTGGTGTAAAACAATTGTTAAATCTTTTGTGGGTACCTCGCTTTCTGTGGCAGCCCTTGAAAAAAAATTGCAGCTGTAAGAGCAATAAATATAAATTCGGGTCGGGTCGGGCCGGGCTTCAGGCCCGGGTTTCAGGCCCGGGTTTCAGGCCCGGGCTTCAGGCCCGGGCTTCAGGCCCGGGCTTCAGGCCCGGGCTTCAGGCCCGGGTTTCAGGCCCGGGCTTCAGGCCCAGGTTTCAGGCCCAGGTTTCAGGCCCGGGCTTCAGGCCCAGGTTTCAGGCCCAGGTTTCAGGCCCAGGTTTCAGGCCCGGGCTTCAGGCCCAGGTTTCAGGCCCAGGTTTCAGGCCCAGATAAGAAATGACAGCTATGGAGGTAGCAGGAAGCATCCTTACCAGATGCCCAAACCACCTCAACTGGCTCCTTTCGAGGTGGAGGAGCAGCGGTTCTCTCCAGTATAACTGAACTGATCATCCTAGAGTCCAGCTACCCTGCGGAGGAAACTCAGTTCAACCACTCAAACAATCTCATTTTTTCGGTCACTATCCAGAGCTCGTGGTCATAGGTGAGAGTAGGAACGTAGACCGACTGGTAAACAGAGAGTTCTCTGTTTACCAGTCGGTCCATTCACCCATTCATTAAATCCTTTATCCCATTTTTTGTTCAGGGGGGCTGGTGTTAATCAGAGACAAGTAAAAACACAAGCAGGAAAACTAATTCTATTCAGATATTTTGTCAATAACTTTCTGAATACAATCTACATGTAAAAATACAAAAAACAAAAGACAACACCTTATGAAATCATTTGTTGGATTAGATTTATGTTTACATGATGTTTACATATGTTTACATGATGCACAAGTCT